TTCCTTACATCTGAGTATTGGTTTAATTTTGATTATTGCAGATTTCGCTTTTTCTATGTTATGGGTTATGGCGCTGTCAGGGGTTCCTTTATTATTTATAGTAGAGCCAAGATAGTGGAAGGTATCTACTTCCTCTATTTTTTTATTTCCTATCCTGACAGCTGTTAAGTTGTCTTTTTTATTTATAATCATGACTTTGGTTTTGGAGATTGATATCTCTGTACCAATATTAGCTTAGTAATTTTGTAAGTGGTTTAAGGCTTTTGTAGCCTCTTCCGTGGTATTTGTGATAAGACACAAGTCATCAGCATATTCTAGGTGTTTGATTGTTCAGATTCTATTATGCTGATCCTCTAGTGTAATGCCTTCTGTGGTTTTATCTATAGTACGTTCTAATATATTTTGAAAGACTAGGTTGAAGATGGCCGGACCTTCTTTACTACCCTGTCTGACCCCCCTATGCATTGTGAAGTTTAATTGAGTATTTCTTAGATAGCCTTTAGGCTTATCTAATAGTTTATTTAAGCAGGCAGCGTGTTTAGTATTAATTGTTTAGGTATGGTGTCGAAAGCTTTAGTTAGGTCTACAAAAGTTAAGACAATGGTATGTTTCGTGTCTATGGCAGTTTGGATTACGTGTCTTAGAGTAGTTATTGCATGTGTAGTTGCTAGATTTTTTCTAAACCCAAACTGTGTTGCTGGAAGATAGTTATCTGTTTGTTGTACTAGTCTATTGCATACTATGCCTGCAAATAGTTTTCCTATTGTGTCCAGTAAGAATATACTTCTGTAGTTATTGGGGTCAGATCTTAATCCCTTATTTTTGTATATACTTATTACATCTGCGTCTAGCCAGTGGTCTGGCATAGTGCACGGATTTCTCCATATTTTATTCATTATATTTAGTAATACGTTAGTCAATTTACTACTCCCATGCTTAATCATTTCAGTAGTGATGCCGTTGTTACCTGGAGTAGTTTGGTTTTTCATGTTTTTTAAGCCTTGTTTTATTTCATCTAGCGTTAGTTCGGGATCCTGGGTACCCCCTGTAGATAGATAAGTGGGATTTAGTTTTAATTTAGCACTAAATAGGTTCTGATAGTGATATTGAAGATCGCTATCTTTAACTTGATTTGTTCTTTTGGGTCTATAAGATTGATTTCGAATTGTAGCCAATATATCATCCAGCATTTTATATGCTAAGTGTAGGTCATGTTTCTTGAAGAGTGAGTTCATCTCATCTATCCTATCTTTGATATATTGGTCTTTTGCTAACTTAATCTTTTTATTTACTATCTTACTCGCTTGTGTGTAGAGATTTTTATTTAAGGTAGTGGGGTTAATAAGCCAAGCTAATCTTAGTTGTTTTCTATATTTTATTTCATTTTTTAAGAGATCGCTTATTGTATGTTGCCATCTTTTTGTGGCCGACTTATGAGGGATTGCGGCTTTATTAGCCGCTTGTATGATGGATTGTTCTACCTGGTTTAGATTACAATTATTTTGAAGTAGCTTGTCTAGTATGTTCGGGTAATCCGACGTCAAGGCATGTATCGCCTTGCGTTGTCTTCGTTTTGGTATCTTATTATTGTTTGGGGTCAGTTTATTATATAAGTATTTTAGTTTGACTATGGCTGTGACCATGTAGTGATCAGAGTTTGCTTCCATAGTTCGGCTATTGTGTATGTCACAGACCATTAGCTTAGAGTTATTTTCTATTAATATTAGATCTAACATATGTTCAGTTTGTGTCTTGGGGTGTACCCAGGTGGATATCCTATGAGTAGGTTTAGTAATAAAAGTATTCATTACTCGTAGACTTGGTGTTTCGCATAAGTATATTAATCTCATGCCATTTGTTGAAGTCTCTGATTCAAGCTTGATAGCTTTCCCTACAATACTGGGGTAGTAAGTGTGAAGGTCCCGGCCCAGCCTACAGTTGAAGTCACCTAATAAGATTATGGGGAGTTTATTTAGTTTAAGTTTCTTAATAGTGTTATTCAGTTTTAAGTAGAAGGTTTCTTTACTGATGTCTTCAGTAGAAGACTCAGTTGGGGCGTAGCAACCGATAACGTTGATAGTTTGGTTGGTGATTTTACTATGTATTTTAATGGTAGCTATTCTACCATCTATCTCTTTAAAGTTGGTGGCTTTAACCATTGATTGGTTATTAATGATGAAACCGACACCGGTGTTCCGGTAGTCGTTTATGTCAGGATTAGAATTTAGGAAGGTTATATTTTTGTCTAATTTGATGGTTTTGGAGACCATCCTTGTTTCAGTAATCACTGCTATGTGGTACTTACGTTCGATGATTTGTTCTGCGATCAGTTGGAGTTTACTCTCTTGAGAGCAACCCCGGACATTCCATAAACCAAATTTTGATTTTTGTGAATTTTTTTTGTCGTTTTCTGAACCATCAATAATTGTGCTATGTTTCTTTGTAGTTTTCGTAATCAAATGGTGGGTATAGGTCGAGTGGGTGATTAGCCCGATCTCTACCACCCGGGTTACCGCTCACGTTAGTTAATGGGAATAGCCCATTATCCAGGAGGCACGACGAGGACGTGTGAGTCGGATTTTGCCTCCCATCCCTGTGGTAACTTTTCTGACACCTCTTGCTTCAAACTCCGAAAATAACATCAAAAGGATCGATAGGCCACGCTTTCACGGTCTGTATTCGTACTGAAAATCAAAATCAAGTAAGCTTTTGCCCTTTTACTCTACGCCAGGTTTCTGTCCTGACTGAGCTCACCATAGGACACCCGCGTTACCATTTGACGGATGTACCGCCCCAGTCAAACTCCCCGCCTGACATGGTCTTCAGAACGGGTCGCACATCACATCAAGACTCAAACACCGCAATTTGCACCACGACTCATCTGACATGACCAAGATACCGAAGTACGCAGCGATAGACCACGCACCCCGGAATGTGCTTTGAACCAAAATACAATTTCGTTCCCGTTTCACTGAATAAGTAAAGAAACAATGATAGCAGTGGTATTTCATTTACGCTGGACACCGAAGCACCCAGCTCCCACCTATACTACATCCATCATGTCTCCTCACAAAGTCGGACTAGAGTCAAGCTCAACAGGGTCTTCTTTCCCCGCTAATTCTGCCAAGCCCGTTCCCTTGGCTGTGGTTTCGCTAGATAGTAGATAGGGACAGTGGGAATCTCGTTAATCCATTCATGCGCGTCACTAATTAGATGACGAGGCATTTGGCTAATAACATATATTTTTAAGTATCAAATTGTACACACCCAAATGGGTTTGGAACAAAATGAAGTACTTAAGATGTACAAGAGAGTTTTCTCATTGAAATCGAGACACAAGTTTGTAGTAGTAGAGGTGATGAAATTTCATTTAAGAGGTTAACCGAAATGGGAATAATTATAATGATAATAATAATAACAATAATGGTAAATTAACAGTGTTAATAGATGTCGGAACATGAAAGCGGAAGGTTTAGAAGCATACTGGAGAATAGGAGATCGGTAAATCAAAGACTGCCGTGTGCTAACATAGATAGTTCATCAATTCATGAAGACAAACCGAAATAAATGAAACAGTTGTTATTGAAAACTACCAAGAAACAGAGGGGTCTTTCGATTATTCTATTGTATAGGTGAGAAGAACGTATGAAATGAAAGAAAGAGAAAAATAAAATAAAAAATAATAAATAAATAAATAAATAAACAACTTAAATAAAATTGGCAGGCGCAGGAGAAACACGGACGGCAGCACTCAGTTAGTAAGGGATAATGAAGGCAGACAAGAAGGAGCAGCAGTGTTTGAGAAACAATAAAACTATGTGCAGGATCGTTGAGTTCCTCTCATGTAAGTGTTATAGATTTTGATTGACCCTTGAATAGCGTTCAGGCATAGATCCCCAAGATCCCGGAATGAGAACGATAAGCGTCGAAGGGCTTGGGTGCTTGACTTTTCAAGAATTCCTCTGAACGTTAGGACGACGGGGGATTGTCGGATGCTGGAGATATTATGACCACTGGATGACAGGAATCGCTTAATCGAAGCAACGGTTTGCTCATTGCCGTATTTAGAAATTTTTAACAACCGGCTTGTTTGAGTGTTACCGTCATCTGATATAGTTACATCCAGAATGTAGGCCACCGTGTCCCGTATGACGATGAAATCTGGCTTACAGTAGGTCGTTTCCAGCGGGATACATGGCTCCTGTAGAAATGTGGTTTTAAGTCTACGGAGCTTCTTTGCTACAAGTTTACATAGTTCGTTGTGCCGCTTACACCTGATGTCATGGGTGCGCGAGCAGTGTTGCAGTATGTGTTGGATAGTTTCAGGATGACTGCAGCCTCCCCGACAGTGTAGGTCACCCACTATCCTACCGCCTCGAGATCTTCTTATTTTGGTGGGTAGTAGTCCACCTCGCAATTTTACCGCATTAATGTACACGCTGGGAAAAACGGATTGGGGGCAGCGTAGCCATGTATGTGATTCTTTGCTGTGTTGCGCTAATACAAGACCCTTACCGTCGTTGGATGAGTAAAGTTGCCGTACCCAACACTGGGATGCCTCTTCTTTCGATGTTACTCTTTCATGTCCGATACGGACTTGCATCTGGCCAAGATGGGAGTAGGAGGCTAGGGCTGGTAACGTGGGCAATCTATGGAGCAGTCGATTGGGCGCCGATAATAAAGCTTCCAGTCGCTTCCGTCGATGGAACGGAATTGTTGAGGTCAGGTGCTGGATTCCGAGACCGCCCGCAGCAATGGAGGAGTGAAGGTATGCTAGAGGGGTGTCTGCCGGTAATCTCAGCCATTTTCTGATGGCCGCGTGTATTGTGCGGTCCATCGATTTCAGAGTGTTTTTGTGGACTACGCCTAGAGTCAGGGGATAAATTAGTCTAGGCAATAGGTTGTCTCTTAGTATTTTAATGCGTTGTTGCGGCTTAAGTGGGGCGCATGAAATTTCTTGCAGGTAGTTGTTCAACGAGTCGATGTGGGAAACTGGGCACCGACCTTTGAAGTTGAATTTTATCCCAAGATATTGGAAGGTGTCGGAGACGGATAGCGGTGGGATACGTATTCCAGCTACCGTGAATTCTGTTTGAGAAAGAGCTGTAAGTTTGCAATGACCCCCAGAGATCAGGTCTAAGGTTTGGCTCTTCTCAGGATTCACTGACCATCCGGCTTCATGCAGAAGTAGTGAGATACGGTTCAGTTTTTGTTGTAAGAGGTTTGCATTCGGAGCGAATACCACTAGATCATCGGCGTAGGCGATGCCCCCAAATGCCCTGGTATGGCCGAGAGCGGGGAGGGTTCGCCCTCCCTCTCGAAATACTCTCACACGGCCACGTGTATACAGCCTCTGCCAGGGAAGTCCTACTCACTGCCTTCTCGTGGCGGGGGTGTTGTTTACGAAAATGAGAGGACGAAAAGCGAACGTCCGGCGCTATAACCGGATCCCAATTCTATGGTGCACATGGGCTCCAGTATCCTGAAGGAACAAATGGCGTATGAACCAACTTTTGGTCACCGGCTTCCATGGGACTGCATCTCCTCACGATGCTCCACTGCCTTGTGGACTAGACCTTCAGGTCAAAGGCTCGGGGTGTGGCCCCCTAAGAAAACCACCTGCTTCGGTTTGGGCACCCGGGCAGTATCTCAGCCCACACACCAAAACATGATGAAATATTCGCTTACGGAAAATATTCGTTCTTCTCTGACTAACATTGAAATGACTGATACTATTATTATTATTATTGTTATTATTATTATTATTTTTATTATTTACTACGTCATTTACTCACTGTCTCCTATTTCTACTTTTTGTATCCGTTTCGACTCAGACAGCAGCTCGCCTATGGTAAAAATTCAGCTTTATCTAAACGTTCTCGAGTCACTGCCTGGTTTGAAAATTGTATGTTACCATCGAATAAGAGTACTGAAGCAGTCTTTCTGAAACCACGCGCACCATTCAAACTGGCTGCCTTTAACGTTCGCACACTTATGCAGGTCGGACAACAGATAGGGCTGGCAATGTCTTTGGAAAGTCTTAATATTGATGTGTGTTGTCTATCCGAGACCCGTATTCAAGACTCTGGTGAAGTACTACAAATTCGCTCTCCATCTGTCTCTCCAAAAAGCTTGTTTTACGTGCGTTTATCCGGGGACCCTGTGGCATCTTCGTCTGGTCTTGCTGGCGTTGGTGTCGCACTAAGCGCAAGAGCTGAGGCAGCACTAGTCGACTGGATCCCCATTAACAGTCGGTTATGTGCTGTTAGATTAGAAAGTACCATCAAAGTGAGAAGAAATCGGCGTGAGAAACGATGTCTTTTCGTCATCTCCGCCTATGCCTCGACAGATTGCAGCCCGGATGCAATCAAGGATGAGTTCTACCACCAGTTATCTGTTCTTCTCCAGAAAGTGCGTTCGACAGATATTGTAGTACTAGCTGGAGACTTGAATGCTCAGGTCGGGCGTCTAGGCACAGAAGAGAGTCGTTTAGGTGGCCGATGGGGACTCGTTGGTCGCAGGACAGATAACGGGGAACGTCTACTGCAACTATGCACAGACCACAACCTGTTTCTGGCTAGCACTAACTTTCGGCACAGTCATCGCCGATGTGCCACCTGGCGTCCCCCTTCTGCATCTCAAGCCTGGACTCAGATTGATCACATCGCGATCAGCTACCGCTGGCGCGGTTGTGTACAAGACTGCCGCTCCTTTTGGAGTACCTATCTGGAATCTGATCATGCTCTGGTCTGCGCCAATCTTACCTTACTTTTCAGTGGACAACGAAGTGACCGCCACCACAGGATTGATGTTAGCAAGCTGGCTGCAACTTCTGTTGCTAGTAAGTACCGAGCCGAGCTAGCTTCTAGGCTAGCCACTATTCCACCGAAAAGTATAGATGAGCATTGGTTGCAATTGCATGACGCCATGAAAATGGCGGGTCAAGTCAGCTGTGGGATTGCGAAACGTCCCGCTTACAAGCACTGGGTTTCTTCTGGTTCCTTACAACTGATTGAAGCCCGTCGGTCTACTCCGGGTGACCGTGAGTTTGACCACAGACGAAGGTTGTTACGTACTGAAATTGGGCAAAGCTTGCGTAAGGACCGAGAAACCTGGTGGTCGGAGCGTGCCAGTGAGTTGGAAGCAGCAGCTGCATCTGGTAATTACCGGAAGCTCTTCCAACTCATCCGAGCCACTGGCAGCAAGAAGTCTGGTGTGAGCGAAACAATCTGCGAGGATGACGGAACGCCAATCACTAACATCCATCGACGTCTTGGACGATGGGCAGAATTCTTTGAAGGGCAGTTCAACTGGCCTGCTGCTCCGGCAACATCGGTCAGACTGTCCTGCCCTCCTTGGCCGGTGACGACTGATCCACCAAATGAGGCGGAAGTCCGCAAGGAACTCCAACTCTTGAAACGTTACAAATCACCAGGCCCAGACGACTTACCCCCGGCTCTTTTTAAAGATGGTGGTGACTTTCTGACTAAGGACTGACGACGTTGTTTACAAAGATCTGGGAACTAGAGAGTGTACCAACGTCATGGAATGAGTCGATAGTTGTCCCTATCTTTAAAAAGGGTTCACGTTGTTCCTGTAACAACTATCGGGAGATAAGTCTACTTCCGATTGCGTCCAAGCTATTGGCTTCCGTCATACTTCGTAGGTTGTTCAGAACCCGAGAAGGATTGACTCGCGAGGAGCAGGCTGGGTTTCGTTCTGGTCGAGGATGTATTGATCATATCTTCACCCTCCGCCAAGTGTTAGAACACCGCCATACTTATCAAAGGCCAACAATCGTAGTGTTTCTTGATATCAAGGCTGCTTTCGATTCGTTGGACAGAACTGTTCTCTGGGATTGTCTATTGAAGAGGGGTGTGCCTGAGAAGTTTATTAACATCCTAAAAGCCTATATACAAACACCTCAGGTAGAGTGAGGGCATACAACCACCTTTCTCCACTATTCCATTCAAGCAGTGGAGTTAGGCAGGGTTGCCCAATCTCACCATTCCTCTTCAACTTTGCCATCGATGACATTCTGGAAACAGCTCTGACGGATGTAAGTAATGGTGGTGTGGATCTGTTGCCTGGAGAAAGACTTATCGACCTTGAGTATGCGGATGATATTGTCTTACTGTGCGAGAATGCCCAAGCCATGCAATCCGCACTTAATCAGTTGGCAATCAGTGTCCGTAGGTATGGTATGTGCTTTGCACCTTCGAAGTGCAAAGTACTTCTACAAGACTGGCAGGATTCTAATCCTGTACTCACTCTGGATGGTGAGCAGATAGAAGTAGTCGAGAAGTTCGTGTATCTAGGTAGCTGCATAAGTGCTGGTGGTGGCGTGAGTGATGAGATCAATGCACGTATAGTGAAAGCCAGAGCGGCTTATGCCAATCTGGGCCACCTTTAGCGCCTTCGTGATGTCAGTCTGGTTGTAAAAGGTCGGATCTACAACGCGACGGTGAGAGCAGTTTTGCTCTATGCTTGTGAAACCTGGCCTCTCCGAGTTGAGGATGTTAGACGACTCTCTGTGTTCGATCATCGTTGCCTCCGAAGGATTGCTGGCATCCAGTGGCAACACCATGTCAGTAATGCAGAGGTTCGGCATCGAGTGTTCGGTCACAGAGACGATAATGAAATTGGTGTCACCATCTTGAAACACCGACTTCGGTGGCTTGGACATGTTCTACGAATGTCGTCCCAGAGAATTCCTCGTCGTGCATTATTTGCCGACTCTGGGACTGGTTGGAAAAAGCGGAGAGGTGGTCAGTATATGACATGGTGTCGTGGTATGAAAGAAAGCTGCAAAGGGCTAGCTTATGTTGGTCCTTCACGACTCCCTGGTTGGGGTCCGAGAGATGGTGTAACGCAGTGGCTAGAGACGTTATCAGATATGGCTCAGAATAGAAGCCAGTGGCGATCCTGCTGTAACCTTCTTTTACTTTCTTCATAAAAAGGTGGTCGTATTCTTCCTTAACTGAAAGATCTGTTCTGATTGTACCTTTCCGTTTCCCCCACCATTGTTCTCTCTCTCTCTCTTCTTTTTTTTTATAATTCCCCACGTTCATTACTTTTTTTTTCTTCTCTTTTCTCCTTCTCTTCTAATTATCTCTGTTTTGTGTGGCGCATATATATTTGGTGCCCCACTGTACCAATATTTATGTGTTCAAATAAATAAATAAATATAAATAACTCTCCGTCAATATGCAAGTGGGTCGTTGGATCTAGGCCTTCGAGAACTTCGTCGAGGACCATAATGAAAAGTAATGGAGAAAGAGGATCGCCCTGTTTCACGCCACACGTTGGGTGGCATTCTGTGGTATTGAGACAGCTGGTGGCGCTCCCGTAGTAGTTGTTCAAATAATTACATAGTAGGTCGGGAGCTCCGTATCGTTTGGCTGCTCTAATGATGGAATCGTGTGAGACTGTGTCGAATGCCCGTGAAATGTCAAGTAGTGCGAAAGACCCTCCTGTGTGGTGGGTGTGGATATGCCGAATTACTGAGTGCAGAAGATTGACTGCTTCAAAACACCCATCTCGTTGTAGGAAGGCAAACTGAAGCCGTTCCTGAGGGAATAATGGCATCCACCTTCTGGCTAGGATTTTATGGAGGCACCTAGTGGTCATTGGAGCGACACTAACAGGGCGGTAGTCCTCGGGGCTTGTTGGATTCATTGACTTGGGTATGAACGTCACTCGGGAGGTTGACAGATTCGTGGGGAGGTGTGTTATGGCAAGCAGCATGTTGAGATAACCGGCCAGACTATTTTTACCATATTTCAGTAAGTCGTACGATGTCAGACGATCGATCCCTGCGGCAGTACCATGCATTTCTTTAAGAGCCCACGCTACTTCAGAGGGAAGGATTGGGTCGATGAGAGATGGGGTGGTGGCGACTACTGGTATTACTTCACGGTTATCAATAGTGCTGGGTCTAGTCATGACTGCAGTCCAGAAGCTGTCGAAGTTAGGAATGTTGGACGGGTTGGCTATAGAGGGCTTCTTCCAACGACCATCCAGAACAGTGTTAGCAGCATCTTTGGGACGGTGGTGGAATAATGTCTGAATATGAGCGTACGCTATCTTCCTCATTTTCTTACGAGAGACATTGGATGGGGAGTGGAAGGGATACCTGGGTTTGGAGGGGACCCATGTTCTGGGGAAGGCAACGTCCGCATGACTGTTAATGAAGGTGGAGATATCTTCAGCGCTCATGTGCATTATGCCACATTGTATGAAGTCAAGTAGGCTAGAAGATCTAATCCTAGTGCACTCATTGTAGAGGAGGTCGACGGCGGCTGCTAATAGTTTTGTTTTCTGTGCTAGTAATGGACCCTGGTCTATGTCCGAGTTTACTACGTTTGTTGGAGTCATCTCAAATGACTCGTCTAGATCACAGGTATAAGTCTGTGGTATTCGCCCTGTGTTCAGAATTGGGTCAGGAGCTGCATGGGTATTGGATGGACTTTGTGGATAGGTCGGAGACGGAAGTGGTGTTAGGATGATACGGAGTTGTGGTTGTAGGGAGGGTAATGCTTCATGAGGGGTTGTGGCGTCTAGTAACAGTTCGTCGTGGCTGAGGTCGATTACGGCGTTGTCAACGGGAGAATGTGGTTGGGGAACCCCGGTGTTCTGCAAAGTTGTGGTCGGAACTAGGGATGCAATAGTGTTAGTAGTGGGTGTAGTGGGAGCGTCTGGGGTTGGGGAAGACGGTTTCATCCAGTGGAGGTGAAGGAGCCGTCGTTTAATGGCTTCTGCCGTCCTACGTGGCATTACCGTTGATATGTGTTGGCATAAGTCATTTTTGGTGGTGAAATTTTTAGCGTTACGGTCGGCGATCGTCAGGAGCGAAGCGTCATCAAACTGCGACCATATGCGTGATGTGGGCTGAGACTTGATCCGTCGTTGTAACATTTCATTATATTCACTGACATGTCGATGGCGAATATGTTGCGATAAGCCTCTGCTGGATGGGAAAGCAGCCGCACAAAGAGCACATAACAATTGTTGCGCACCGTGTTGGGTGGGACTAGGAGGGCAAAAGGTGTGGTTGGACAAGGGCACAGAAGAAATAGGAACAGGTGGTAGGGAGCTTGTGTCAGTTTCAGCGCTGGTTGAGACCGGCATCTTTTTGTTATTGTGTTGACACAACTGACAAGCCAGTGAGCCCGTTATTCAGGAACCACTAGCAGTTGAGGACGAATTAATATTCGTGTCACGGACCGTTCATAGGCCCTCTCCGTGACTAATAATGCAGCGGCAAGGGGACTGCTGAAGCAAAATTGATCAAATGAATGAGCATAAAAACAAACAGATAAAGAAGTTTAAGAATAGGTGGTATAAACCATGCAAACACTTAGACGGAATAAATAGTTGCGACCAGTTGTAGAAATGAGAAAGTGTGACAAGTTGTACACGAAAAGATGCAAAACCAACGACAAAATATTGAGAAAATAGTTCGGGATGAACAAATATATCAAAATAGTGTAAAAGCCTTTTAGAACATAAGGCTAAAAACCAGGAATGCGGTTGTGAATAGTTGGGTTGTAGACAAGGTTGAATATAATTCAGAAATTAGTAGAAATGAGAAGAGAGTCATAGTTACTACCGCCGTTTACCCGCGCTTGGTTGAATTTCTCCACTTTGACATTCAGAGCACTGGGCAGAAATCACATTGCGTCAAAACCAATCAGTGGACATCGCAATGCTTTGTTTTAATTACACAGTCGGATTCCCCTGGTCCGTGCCAGTTCTGAGTTAGCCGTCGCGCGCCAGACCATGGAAGTACAGCCGCTTGACGCAACGTGGAACAAGTCCTCGCGCGTTGCTAGCTGCACGACACTAACAGCTGAAACCGCCCACGATCGACCCGGGTCAGAGTCCAGAATCCTTGTTAGTTTCTTATCCTCCGCTTAGTGATATGCTTAAGTTCAGCGGGTAATCACGTCTGATCCGAGGTCAGGGTCAATAATACAATTCGTGTGTGATACACACACCATCGGTACAAACCATAGACCGAACCATAGAGACAAGACTAAGTGATTAACGTAGCATACGATAGGTGCGATTTTTCCCAAGCGTGTATAATGTCATTAAGCCACGACTCGAGCACAACCCACCGCAGCATCTCAATCAAGTCATCTAGACCGGACTAGGCTGTGGCCGGATTATTAGGACGGAGCCTTTGACCAGCAACCCGCGTTGATATACGGGTATACACGCCGGCAGGCACTCGTCCAATCCACGACTTAATGTGCGTCGTGATAGATGAAAAGCCGACCCTCGGACAGGCGTGGCCACAGGATATCCCGTAGCCGCAATATGCGTTCAAGATGTCGATGTTCAAAGCAGTATGCAGTTCACATTAATTCACACAGTTGGCTGCACTCTTCATCGACACACGAGCCGAGTGATCCACCGCTCAAAGTTGTACGCCAATAATCCCATACATTGGTTTCCCAAATGCATAGAACTAGTGGTTAACGCTGCAGCCTAGGATATTTACCGCTAAGCCAGCGTACATGCAGTCCAGCACGAAGCCAGGTGCATGCCATATTCAACCACTGGAGCCTAGGGTAATAACCACCAAGCCAGGGTACATGCAGTCCAGCACGAAGCCAGGTGCATGCCATATTCAACCACTGGAGCCTAGGGTAATAACCACCAAGCCAGGGTACATGCAGTCCAGCACGAAGCCAGGTGCATGCCATATTCAACCACTGGAGCCTAGGGTAATAACCACCAAGCCAGGGTACATGCAGTCCAGCACGAAGCCAGATGCATGCATGATTATATATTTTTGGGTTATGATAATGATCCTTCCGCAGGTTCACCTACGGAAACCTTGTTACGACTTTTACTTCCTCTAAATAGTCAAATTAGGTCATCTTCTCAGCATCAGTCGAGCGGCAAAGCCACTACAACGACACCAATCCAACGACCTCACTAAACCATTCAATCGGTAGTAGCGACGGGCGGTGTGTACAAAGGGCAGGGACGTAATCAGCGCAAGCTTATGACTTGCACTTACCAGGAATTCCTCGTTCACGGGGAATAATTGCAAGCCCCGATCCCAGTCACGACGGTGATGAAACAGTTTGCCCAACCCTTTCGGGCCAGGTTTCCAGACTCGCTGGCACCGTCATTGTAGCGCACGTGTGGCCCCGGACATCTAAGGGCATCACAGACCTGTTATTGCTCAATTTCGTGCGACTTAAGTGTGCCGCTTGTCCCTCTAAGAAGTAAAAACTGGCACCGCACCCGCCGGATCACGACCACACTACTCCATAAAGAAGCAATAGAAGCCGCGCCCTAAACGAGCACAGAGGACCAGTCTACTATTTAGCAGGTTAAAGTCTCGTTCGTTATCGGAATTAACCAGACAAATCGCTCCACCAACTAAGAACGGCCATGCACCACCACCCACCGAATCAAGAAAGAGCTATCAATCTGTCAATCCTCACAGTGTCCGGGCCGGGTGAGTTTTCCCGTGTTGAGTCGAATTAAACCGCAGGCTCCACTCCTGGTGGTGCCCTTCCGTCAATTCCTTTAAGTTTCAGCTTTGCAACCATACTCCCCCCGGAGCCCAAAGACTTAAAGGTTTCCCGGGGACTGCCCGCGATGTCAATTATAGAACCAACGCGGATCGTCAGTTGGCATCGTTTATGGTCAGAACTACGACGGTATCTGATCGTCTTCGAAACTCTGACTTTCGCTCCTGATCAATGAAAACATTCTTGGCAAATGCTTTCGCTGTAGTTTGTCTGGCGGCGATCCCAGAATTTCACCTCTAACACCGCCATACAAATGCCCCCGTCTGTCCCTCTTAACCATTACTTCGGATCCGAAAACCAACAAAATAGAACCGAAGTCCTATTTCATTATTCCATGCAAGAATTTTCAGGCGCACAGGCCTGCTTTGAGCACTCAAATTTGTTCAAAGTAAAGATGCCGTCCGCTCCCGACACCCGTTTAAAGGCATCCGGAAGCATGCCGACAGGTCAACAAGACGAACTCGTCAACCCACCAGCACCCGTTTAACACAGACACGGCTGAAAGGCTGCACAGCCACTACACCGAGCTGAACACGTCCTGATCGTAACCAAAACAGTGAACAAGCAACGGCATGCGACCGCACGACCCAGATCCAACTACGAGCTTTTTAACTGCAGCAACTTTAATATACGCTTTTGGAGCTGGAGTTACCGCGGCTGCTGGCACCAGACTTGCCCTCCAATTGGTCCTCGTTAAAGGATTTAAATTGTACTCATTCGAATTACGGAGCCTCAATTGAGTCCCGTATTCGTATTTTTCGTCACTACCTCCCCGTGCCGGGAGTGGGTAATTTTCGCGCCTGCTGCCGTCCTTGGATGTGGTAGCCATTTCTCAGGCTCCCTCTCCGGAATCGAACCCTGATTCCCCGTTACCCGTTATCATCATGGTAGGCAAATCACCTACCAACAAATTGATAGGGCAGACATTTGAAAGATCCGTCGCCGACACAAGGCCGACTGCGATCAGTAAAGTTATCCAGAGTCATCACAGAATGTAACAGGCACAGCCGAAGCCGCGCCCGATTGGTTCTGTTCTAATAAATGCACCCGTCCCCTTGCGGGTCAGGGATTCAAGGCATGTATTAGCTCTAGAATTACTACAGTTATCCATGTAGCATTTACGATCTAAGGAACCATAGCTGATTTAATGAGCCATTCGCGGTTTCACCGTTTTAAGGTATGTACTTAGACATGCATGGCTTAATCTCTGAGACAAGCATATGACTACTGGCAGGATCAACCAGTTTATTCACAGTTATATAATATACCCTTGTGGGCCAGGGTAATTTTACATCGGTTTTCAGGAGAACCAGACACCGTCCAGACTTTCACGCGACAACCCAAACAGCACAGCCCAAGCCCACTTAACAGGGGAGCCGGACACCGTATAGGCTATAACGCTACAATCTGAATGGTACAGCTCAATCCTGTGGCGCAACCACACAGGTACCAAGCACCCTGGTGGACCATTCGCACCATTCATATACACATTCACATCACATGTGTAATTATTCCGATCAATGATCGCGAGAATCAATTATGCACGGCAAAAACAGGCCAAAGTTGACCCATTCCGCTTACACGACAGTCAAACTCATTAATGTTAGCAATAGCGACATGCCTGACAATGTCCCAATGACAATGGCCCTCGAGAACACTGAAAAGCAGCCACCAGTATGAATGAAATCAGTTAACCAGCAAACCAATTTTGTTCGTGAACAGTCAGCAAAACTTGCCAAAGCATTGCTAAACCATCCACAATAGCAATGGCGAGCCTCTAGCCTCATATGAGACCTTCAGCTCTACACAGCCATATAGCTTATACTGCAAACAACACATATATAGGGTAGTAAGCGAAATAGCCCAGCCTGAAGCGTTAGGGCTTAAATAACGCTTAAAACCCATTGTCTGATGTCGGAATATTCTCTTGCACCACCAACATCATTTTTATCGCATTTGCGAAATTTTCATTTTTCCGACTTTTCAGACCCTGAGTTAGGGGTAGTACCCCTATATAACATGGCGAGTAAGAGCAGGTGTAAATCGACAAACACAAATCTTAATGTGTGTATACATATTAGACATCATTGAATAGAACTCAATAAGACAAGTAACACAAAAAAGCCCCATTAAAATATATTAATCCGTTCAAAAGTTATGAAGGAAAATGTGACTTGAAAATTCCTATAGAAAGTCCGAGCGGCAAAATCCTATAGAAATGTCCGAGACAGCGAATTTCGTAAACACACTTTTGATCATAACTTTTGAACGGCTTAACCGATTTCGTTCATTCTTCTTTTATTCGATTTCTCTTGCAAATATCTATCTGAAAAATTATAACACATTACTATAGATTTGCTGGAAAAATTTTTTTGGTCAAAAAACTGAATTTCTCTCGGACTTTCTATTGAAAAATAAGAAATTTGAAAAAAATTTTTTCTGATGAATAAAATCTCTTGATTATTTTTTTATTCAATAGATCACGCAAATTTACACAAAATAAACTAAAAATCTTCGAAATCCATCCAGCCATTCAAAAGTTATGACAGAATATAACAGTTGCGCACTACGCCTGGTCTTACTAGGAAATCAGTATTTTTCACCAAAACGCAATTTTTGGCGGCGCATTACACCTGGTCTTACTCGCCATGTTATATAGGGAGACTACCCCTAACTTGGTGGTCTCCCAATATTGCACTATGTGTACAGTGCACTCAATTTTTGGCGGCGCATTACACCTGGTCTTAC